GCGAACGCTTTGCAACCACGCCTGCTATCCATACACACCCTCGTTCGTGCGGTTTCCCCCCGCATTTTTTTTCAGCTTCTACGTTACCTGCCCGTCGATGTGGTAACTTTTAACCGGAATTTGTGGTTCGCGCAACCTGCTCGTGAGAATTTTTCGCGTTTACGCGAGTGCCGTATTTTTTCACCTATCCAGAAGTGAATTACCATTTCAGAAATGTACGATCACGTACTCAAGATTATCATTTTTTGCACCTGTGAAATTAATTAGAACGTGTACAGAGTATATCAATCAGAAGTACATATAACAACTTATTGTTTAATGATTTTATCAAAATGAATGTAACTTCTTATCCTTGTATTTTTGTCAAGCTTTATGAAGAAATCAATAATCAGTGGATAATTGAAAATGATTTTTCTTAGTGGCTCAACCTGTATATTATAAATAGGGCAAAATTAGAGAAGCGTCATTACGTGTCATGAATATTTGTTATGTGAGCTATTGAAATTTCTCTGAAATGAACCCACACCATGTTCACGATCCCTGGAAGTCACCCCAGTGGTAGAATCCCCGTTTCTTCGAACGAACTCGTATTGTTTACGAACGTCTCGACGCGCGAAAGGGTAACTACCCCTCGAATCCTCCACCCCTTGTGCAGGTCTCGCATTATTTACACCCGAGAGAGAGAGAGAGAGAGAAAGAGGGACTCGGCGAATATAGTACTTCCAGAACTTGGAGGAACTCCTGACGGAAACCGCGGTGGTCGCAGGAAACTAGAAATTTATGGATTTTGTTTTCGTTTCGTTCGGTCCTAACACGGTTGATTTATGCCCGGAGTGCGACGATATCGGAACCAAGAGACATCGAACGTGGATGAACCAAGCCCGTTTCATCAATTTCACGGACGAGATGCTCGTATTTGTCTCGAGAGCTCGGCTTTCTGATCCGTCGCGCCGGGGAAAGAAAGAGGAGTGACACGGTGATGCATGGGAAATCCGTTTTCTAATAGAAATCGTTAGTACATCGATGCATCTGGTTCGCGCGTATGTTTCTCGTCGATAGGTTGCAGCGGAGTCAATTTTCTATCGGAGACAGGATACTGTTCCTATGAACCGTGAGCTGATTCATCGAGAACATCTTGATGGAGAAGGAGACAAATGGTCCGGGCTTATGGTGCAAATCTCCCTCGAAACAGTATTGCTTCGGATAATGGAAACTGGCAAGTGAATTTCTTCAAAACATAAATTGCAACAGCATTGCAATTCAATTTTGACTATACATATTTAACCATGGTAATATAGCATATCAGTGTTAATATATAACATATATACAATATTAAATGGATTGATAACTGATGAAATCTCTAACCATAGAAGATACGTGGACGAGTAATTAGTAAATGCACGATTGAGCGATCAGGGGCGGCACTCGAGTTCGTTGATAAATCAGACAGAAGCGTACAGCTAGACGTACAAACATCCCGGCGATGCTGTTTAATCGATCGTTCGGCTTAATGACTATGATGCGTTTTAGGCTGATGGCCCGGGATCGACGCGACGCGCCGCGTCGCCTAATCGTTTAAACGGCGGCCGCGTTGATGTACGGACGCTTAAGGAGTCGTAATTTCTGATAGATTCGGTGGATTTCCAACGTTTCAATCACTCTTCTATAAAGATCTGTTCAACGTTTGAATAACTTGATGATTAAATTTGCTAACTTTGACGAGAATCAATAGTTTCTTTAATATTTTTCAGTTAAAACTTCTGATCGGTGCTGCACGATTTGATTGATATACGTAGATATTTTCTTTAAATATTGATTGAACGAGGCAAAGTTTATACACGAATGCAAACATTATTTTAAACGAAGCGAGTGAAAAGGAATTTTAGACTAATAAAATTATTTTTCGCATTTCAACGTTCAGAGAGGCTCTGATCAAAATACACTACATGCCATTCGATACGAATGTCTGTAATCTCTGCCGCACCTATGTATGCATAGCGCTTTCAACCTTTACGTAATGGGAACGGAACGTTGTTATTTGTTGTTGTAAACCACGTTATTCGGGCGGAACATCGACGCTGGGGTTGATTTGCTCGCAGCGGAATGTGGGAAAGCTTGATAAAGATGGTTATGTAACTTGAACGATATTAAGGACATGATTCACTGAAATATTGTCCCCGTTTGATTAAACGTTAACGTGCACCTTAACGACCCACTGAAGATTTTTAAGTACTTTTTCTGATTATAATACATTATGCGTTTTTATAATCGATACATAATTTAGTTAATAACTGGGCAAATGAGAGCTACTTTTAATTAAATAACCGATAACCAATTTGCTCACTTACATAATTTGTAGCCGAATCAGGGCAGTTTGCCTATATTTCGCCGTGAAACACCACGCTATGGATCGATATTACGGAGGGGAATGTCCATTGTTAGACGCTCTATGGGTCTTGTATCGCGTCAAAGGGCACGTTTAATTAGCACCTATCGCGTCCTTCGGTACGGCTGTTTGCTCGCACATTCGGGACATCTACACTGGGCGTGGAACACGTCGCATGACAAACTAATTGCACGCGGTAGTTACACACTAACAGTAGTCAGAGTCAATAAAAAGTACTGCCGTGTCAATAAGAGATCGGAAAGAAGTGGAAGGAACCGTTTTGAGAACTCCGAAACGAAGCAAAGCTCGTCGCTTTCGCTTTCCAGTTGGTCTCGAGACGTGGGATGTCGACTCCTAAACGACAAATAAGACGAACCGAGTCGCTTAGTGACAAAGGCGAGTGTACGTTCATGGACGACGTGGACGATCAGGACCGGTTTGACGTTCACCAAGAATACGTGGTTAAATTTCACTTCGCTACGCGACGTTTTCCGCTTCATGCGAGAAGAGTTCAAGACGTAGCGGAGGTTTCGATTATTATTATTATTATCGTAACGGTCCAAGGATGTCGTTCTTGAAATTTCGTCTAGAGATATTTCGTAAGACGGAAGGAGGACTGGAGACGTTACCGACGATTTGGTATTCTTATCTCAATAATGTTTCTATTTGCACAATATGGTAAAAGCGGCGGCGCGCAGGGATGCGCACGGAGAGTTTTCATTTCCTCCGTCGCCGTGAAGAAATACGATTGTATCTTTGAGCAGATGGGCAAAAAAGAATTTCATTTCCTTCGTAAACCCCACGGACAAGAAGCAGTATGATATATGCCTCGTATGCGCCGCCGGGAACAAGTTTCTTTGAGCGAAGTTGCGGTTAAATCTGGGCCAGTCGGTTCTTCGGCATAGATTTCAGAAAAGTGCATGCAATATTTCTACATTCTTCCTTATGTACTTCCGTATTCAGTTACATCCCTCTATTTCACTTGCATCGAACCGCTGTTGTTCAAAGTTCGCCACCGAAAAATTCGAGCGGGACGGTTTTTACTTTAATATCGTTTCATCTCCGTCGGCGGAACTGTGACGCGTCCGCGGAAAAATTCGACTAGTCCATTTCGCGAAGCGACAGAAAACCTCGACCGACGACTCGAATTCACCGTCTCCCGGCTCTGCAAAACGTAAACGAGGAAGGTTAAACCGAAGGGTGGAGGCCGGCGTCTGGCCGCGAAAGAAACGGAAGAAGAACGAGCGAGGGGTCGAGGTTTCAGCGAACATCTGCCAAGCAGGCTGATCTCCAGCCAACGATAAGACCTCGAAACGCGGCCGACCCGGCACAATCGCGCCGGAATTCATTAGTTAACCCCGGCGGACCGACATTTTCCACGGGCTCGCGAGCGCGAGACCCGCTCGGGGAATTGTATCGTTGAAGAATTCAAGACGAAGGGTTGTCCCGTTACGAATGGACGGGAAAAAATGTTTTCTAACGACGAGCCGAGAGCGCGAGGGTGGCCAGGCAACCTGCGAATCTGTCGAGGGTTCCCGTCTCTTCCGTCGATGCTTTTGAAACAGTAATCAATTGTCCGTCGCTGGGATGCAGCTTATCTAAAAGATGCTTTCTTTCTCGCGGTAAATACCGCGGTAAATACCGCGATAAAATCTTGAACGACATAGTTGTGGAACGAGTTACACCCTTCGCAAATATGGCTTGTACCGTTGGACACGGTACGATAACATTGATACTCGCGATGATACCGTGTACAACATGCAACTGGGTCAGCATAGGAAGATTAGAGAAATAGTAGCTATTGTACCGATTTCTCGTCATCCTCCATTCGAAATACATGACATAGATATCAAAAACTAATACTGCCTTCAGGTCATACCACATATAACGCAACATTTACAACGATGACTAGACCCCGGATTTTATGCATCTATAAAAAACGTTGATGTTCAATAAATATGAATGCACGCATTGTGCATATCATTACTTTTGAAAGCCGAGAGAAATGTCAATTTAAATCTAATTTTTAGGATTGATATATGAAAGGCTCGATAATGATGATTTGGCACAGGAAAAACAGCAGATAGCTGTAATCAAGAGAAATTCCAAATGACAAAGCGTTTTGAAAGATGTACCTGATCCTTACTGCATCATACGTAACCAGTCAGGTCAGAAGCGGTTTCTTTTAACGAGCTGCTTCTCTCGCGTCGTACTCGGTATTCGCGGGGGCCGCAATCGGCTCGCGACGAGTGCAAGCGCGTACCTAGTACATCAATATGAGGATCGCGAGACGACGCGTTTGGGCGCGACCGCGTGCCGCGGCCGATGAACCACGCATGCGTCACATTCCCGTCTCGTCTTTCCTCGTCCCACCGGTGATCTACAATTTCTCTTGCTCTCTCGTTTGGTCTCTCTTTCACTGTTCACTCCGTTCAACGGTGGGGATGGGGATCTCGGTTAAAGTTCGCGTTGAGACGCGAAGGGTGACCAGCTCGTAGAGACGGTGGGGGCCGAAAGGGTCGTAGGGACGAGAGGAGAAACTCGTGGAACGTCGTGGCAGGGGTGAGGAGGGGAAGCCCCGCTCGTCGGGCGATGCCACTCGACGGGATCCCCGCTCTGTCCTCGCGGCAGTCTGACGCCGGTCGCGCAGTCAGCATGGCTGGATTTTCATCGGGTTTTTCGCCGGTTCTACCGTGAAAGCGGCGAGCGCAGTCGATCGTTCCTCCTCGTGTCAGTGTTGCGTGCCGTGTGTCCATCCTCGAACTGTTCTCCGATCGCCGCAGACGCCGGGACGAGAACAGGACGAATAAAGAGACGCCAGATGCTCGGACCTAACCTCTAAAAGAGATGAACCAAGACGTGGCTCTCGTTACGCTGCCGCGGTGACACGGGTCTCGTATAGTTTTTTTATTAGAATCTTATTCCAGTGTCTCTCGCTGTGTTGTTTTTATCTTGTCGCGGTAAATTCCGGGTTTTGTCGTGACCGCGCGTAAAGTGCGTCGCGTGACAGCTATCGTGTGCCTGCTCGAGGCGAACGCGGAAAGAACAAAAGCCAGCGGAAAACTACTATACACCCTGACGCGTGAATGACGGACGATTCGGTGACGTTCCGAACGCGCAAGAAGAACGAAGATTATAAGGTAACGGTGGGAGAGAGAAAGGAAGAGAGAGACAAAGAAAGAGAGAAGAGAAAGGGTCGCGGTCTGAGAAAAGGGACGCGACAAGAGATCTTGACCGGAGAAGGGAAAGAATTCTCAGAAAGCCCGTTTCCACGAAGCCGCTACTCACCACTGTTTTCGAGTCGCAGCGCAGCCTCTTCCCTGGAATCGACGCGCCCGCGTCATCGGTAAGTGTTTACGTTTTCATTGATATCATCCTCAGTACCGTAGTCGGAAAAAGGACGAGCTAAACATTCCTTTCGGAGCTATTGTTTGTACGCGCGGCGTCTGGTCGACAGTATAACTCACGCCTGGCAAAAAAGAGGCCGTACGTATACGTGGACCGGAGTGTAAACAACCCGCCGTCTTTTTAAAGTCCCATCGTGTTCCGTTTTGTTATCTATCTTACGCAACGTTCTACGAAATCTTTATTTGTAGATCTCATTCAGTTGGTCCACGTGTCGGTATCAACTCCACATTTTTTTATATTCTAGTTAATCGAAATTATATTCTGTAAGCAGAGAGCATGGTGGAGGGCTTATAAGTAGGAAACAGAAGAGAAGAGAATGTTTAGGCTCAGTTAAGCGCTGGCAACTTTGTTTGTACCCATGGAGGAACAAGGGAGCGGAATGCGAGGACCAGGGCGCAACAAGGCATTCGGAGCTAGGCCGCAGAGTAGATCGCACCGCTGTATACGAGACGAATTATTAAAAAATATGTAATTCTAAGTAAAGAATTGTTTTAGTCTACACAATTCGAAACGCCTCAGGAAGTATAGCGCGAGTTGATCTATCTAAACGAGGGAACCTTGGGTATCTCATTAGATCATTTATGTATGACGTTCTTCCATCATTGATATTCATTTTAAGATGATGTCACGCGGTGATGAAAACTCGCGAAGGATTAATCACAGTCGCAAAGCCTATAAAAGTACACACGCGCAGTGCAAAAACTGGTAATATGTCACGCGTGTCTCTCATGCACGTGATTACTGTCGCTTATAGATACAAAACTTATCGGTTGGATTACGAAGTGCCGCGCAGTTTCCATGACCATGGAACCCGTGCGTGTACGTATCGCATAATAATTGCCGATACGTACACAAAACTAGTACGAATCACCACCTTGAGGTCTCCAAGATCATGTAAATCAAGCGTATCTGATGTTTTTAATCGTACCGCGTTGCCTTTTGCAGTCTTAAATCTTTCCGAGGTGATCATTACGCGGATATGTTAAAAACTGAAGTAAACTGAAAGTAATACGATCGAGGAAAATTATATATGTTTGCACGATAATAATAATCATCGACGAAGAAATTGTAGCAATTATAATGTAAATAAGATGTTTGTCGTGTCCTTCGAAGAAAACGTTGAATAAAAGAACATTTTTTAAATGGCTAGACACGTCCCGAATAATATCAGCGTTCTTCTAACTGTTATTCCCAAAAGTCTTAGCTTGATACCCGTTTAAACGCTTTTCGCATTCGAGGAGGCGTAGCGCGCGTTTCTTACTCATTAAGAAACTTGTGCGCATTAAATTCCCGGTTGAAACTACCGGTTCGTTTTACCGCCCACTTGTTCCACGCTGAGTCAATGAAAACTTACGAACTTTTCATGCCTTTCACCGTCTCGCGAGCGAAAACGATAGGAAAATTTACGCAATTCACTCGTTCCTCTAATTTGATGAAATGAAAAATTAGATACTCTTTATAAACTCGGAAAGGATACACAATTTCACTTAGATCCGCATCGTCTCCTTTGTGCATTATCTTTGCAAAGATTAATTACGTGTTAGGATGAAACTAGCCAGAGTTATTAAATCTCCGAAGGGTCTCTCGCTAAAGAGAATAAAAGGAGGTGGAAAAAGAAAATCACGCCGGGCGTATTCTTGCACGTTACACGGTTCAATTGGAGGTAATAACGTGATACTAGTCGCATTATCCACGGGAACGCGGTTATTAATTCCGTTATTAAACCCTCAGGTTCGCCGGAGCTCTCTCGCTATGGTTGTTGCTCCGTTGTTCTTCTTTTTTTAAGACCGGCTCGCTCATTAAGAAGGGAACGGTTTTACGGTGGCCGTTTTGTATTTTGCATAGAAAGCACGCCGTATGGGGTGGTGGGTTCTTTGAACGCCGAGATTAAAGAGTTTTGTTGCATTCGTTGCCGGGTCGTAGCTTCCTCTACGACTCCGCGAGCATCGTTGAGACGGTACAACGCGAAAATGACAATCTGAATGCGAAATTAGCCATGCCGACGCTTTAATGCGGGACACACGCTGCATGTTGCTATGAAAAATGCATCGTTGGGAAGGCACGAACGTGTAACTGCCTTTGAGAAAATCAGAAAGCCGTTTCCCTGCCTTCAATCTTCTCGGCCTCCATTGTCCAGACGTCGAAGGAACCGTATCGAAGTTTACCTTCGGATTCACGATGAATTTTGTTGCCCAGCCGGTCTTGTTAGCAAGGATCCACGACGAGTGTGTTTCCAGGTGTCGCTTGTTTAACTTACATTCCTCTTAACTGGTAATCCAATTGCAAGAAAAACAGAGACCTCTTTCTGTCTTGTGTCGTAAAAGCTGAATGAGTCTTAGAACGATGTTATTTTCTTATCGTTAGCTACGTAATATAACGAACTTCGTTCTAAAATCGAGAGATGCTATTAATCACAAATCATTTGATAATATAAAAGACTGTTATATGTTTCTAACGATTGAAATAAATCTGTTGAAACGTCGAGTTGGAAAGTGGGATTGGTGAATCTGTGGAATCGTTGCCGGTTGCTAGGTCACCTTTAAACGTCGCTCGCCTTTAATACTGCTACGAACCCTCGCCGAGATCTACACTGCGGGGATGTAGTAAAAATTCCACATCTGCGGGGTGCTCGGCGAAGAGAAAGACAGGGAGCGAGAGAGCGTGACGCGTCGGTCAGAGAGAGAGAGGGAGCATTAATAACGAGACGCGGAGGGTAACTTCAAGACACGGCTTGTACTCGGGTAGGAAATGTCTAGGCATTAAATCTATTTCCCTTCTGTTTCTGCGAAACCACGTCGTCGCGTCCCATCAAAGATTCAGTGGTCTTCGAATGACCATTGCGAAAGAGGACGAAATTAATGTTTGCTCGCTGGATCAAAATTCAATGATGAAACTGTTGCAGAAATTAATTTCACAAATGGAAATCGCTCGAGTACCCTCAAGCGTTATCGAAATATAGATGAATTAACTTGCCAATTGATTAACGTTCAAGTTATTTAATAATTTCGAGACTGTTTTACCGCGAATAGAGAAACCATTTCTATATTTTTGACAATTCTTTTAACACTGCCAAACTAGTTCATTCACCCACTGATCGCCCAAAAATGGTATATAAATATAAACGAATACAATATTCCATATAAGAATTATCGTTTAATAAAATATTTGATATAATGTTTTGTGCAGTTATTGACAGATTAATTCATGAAGTAATCGCTATGTAATTACGTGAAGCGGAATTAATTTCCGGAGGCTCCCTGCTAAAATCAATTTCGAATGGTAGTTATTCATAACGATTTACCCCGCATAGCTAGTTGGATGATAACGAGCAGAAAAATTGTACGTATGCATGAATGACGCAAATGCAAGAAAGTGAAAAGTACGAGGCGTCTGTTGGCTGGCCTAGTGACCAGTAGAACGCGTCTTAACGTGATACTCGTGCCAGCAGCGTCACGATGAATTACGTTCGACCCCGATAACCCCGTCGTCGCGTTCTCAATGAAAAGCGACGGCCGAGTTTACCGTTCCCATCGCGGAGTTATGACCGGGCGGGGACGAAAATCCCGATGGATCTTAATAATCGCATTTCTGGAATCCCCCCGGTGTCCCTGTAATTCGCCGACTTGGCGAAATTCGTTATCGATGCGGCCGAAAGGCGTGCACCCTTTCACGACGAGTTATCCCCCCGGTTCGCGTGCCATCGACTCCAGCGTGCCTCGAGTTCCCGTCGGAATTCCGGGAGCCGCGCTCCTCGATGCGTGCCCCTTTGTCCGCGTTTCGGAATTCCGCATAGGCGAAGTTTGAAGAAACGCTCTGTCATTAAGTCGATTCTAGTTAGAGACGCATTGACAGGTGCTTGAAACTTCGCTGAAGTGCGTATCCATTCCCCGGTCACAAAAGGCGACGAACACTTGGTAGCTGTATTTCGACACGAGACTACAAAGAAGCGAACCTCGCTTTCGAGTCTTTTCACATTTTTTTCTACTAGCCCGGATAGTGTACAATACCCCATCTGTAACCAGACGCTTTCAAGCTGCAGTAGCACACTTCTCGAACTTCGCCGACCAAGAAGAAGCGGGTTTCGTTTCCTCGTCTCTCGGTTTTCTCTCTACCTCGTCTCTTTTTCACCACCCTTCTTCTTTCACGGTCATCTTCGACCCTAAAGTTTCCGGCGGCGTGATGCGAAAAGTTTGAATGCTTTTCTTCCGGCTTTTATACACGCTGCATGCAAATTTGCAACGTCGCGTGAGGAGTTCGCCAGATACTTTGACCCGCGAGATTTCGTTGGAAGTAATCGAGTCCCGCGTTCTCTCTATCTCGTTAAACGGTTCCACGTTCTTTCCCCTGAACTATTTCGTAAACCGATTCGTCGTCGTGCTACGGCCAGAAATAGCTTATGCAAATGCGAAGAAAGACGCAACCTGGCGTGCCCTGTTCGCGTTGTATGCAGATGAACGCCATTTTCTAATTAACTTCGCTACTGTGTTAGAATATCAGCCAGATTGTCAAATTACGAGAGCTTCGTACTGTTATCTATGGCAGCTAATCAGAAAACTGCAGATTGAATGTAAAAAATATATGAAAGTGCATGAAGTATCAAAAAAATATATATTACAATTTCTAAATAAGTAAAGAAATTTAATTTTTTAAATAAATCCTACAAAAGGTTTATGTGGCACAGAAATCTGCAGTCTTGAGAACACTCTGATCTATCCTTCCTAATATATATTTCTGTGAGTCGGGTTCACGGCTTTGATCAACGGCGTGTTGCAAAGCGCGCATTAGTTAATGAGCGTAATTAGCTTAATAAGAATCGTAGGTTTGCATCCTGGGTAGGACCGATGTAATTGCGTTAGCTAACGCACGCAGAAGAGAGAACCTTCAAAGAAAATGCATCGGGTTCCATTTCTGCATTCCATTGCATTTTGTCTAATAGAC